ACTGGCTTCCCATCCCCCAGAGGATTAAATTCAAGATCCTCATCCTCGCCTACAAGGCCATTCACGGCCTTGCTCCCTCCTACCTCTCTGACCCACTATCCCCCTACTTACCTGCCCGTACCCTCCGTTCCTCTGGCTCTGGTCTGCTCCACATCCCCCGCCCCAACCGCCCTAACATCGGTGGCCGGGCCTTCAGCCTCTCAGCCCCGAGGCTCTGGAACTCTACCCCCAGTGCCTTCGCCGCCTCCTCCCTTTCCTCCTTCAAGGCCAGTCTCAAGACCTTTCTCTTTGACCGTGCCTTCAGCTCCCCTCTCAACTCTCTACCCCCTCCTCGCCCCCACCCTTCCCTCCCCTCCCCCTGACCATTTCCCCCCCCTGCTTAGGTCCTGACCCAACTGTCCAGCGCCTTGGGACGTCCGCCTGACGTGAAAGGTGCTCTATAAATGGAATCTTGTTGTTGTTGTTGTTATCAATGAATAGCTGGAAAGGTTATTTATTAAAGTGTGGAGGTGGGGGAATAAAAGGGAATTCAATATTTGGATTATTTTTGTGCTCCTTGGATCAGATGCTTGGAAGACTCATTCAAATCTATCATTGCAAGCAAACGTTTTTAAGCTAGCTTGTGGTTTTCAGTATTCTACCGTTTCTATTTCATAAATAGTTTTCGAACCATTTAATGACTCCTTTTTAAGAAATCTGAAAAACAGCTACCAGAGCTACTGAGACTGAATTAAATAAAAAGAATTCTTAACTGCTGCACAATCTTAAAAAGTGGACAAAATGCTTCACTTAGAACCATAGAAATTCATGGCATAAAAGAAGGCCATTCTGCTCATCGTGGTTGGGTTGGAATTTTATAACCAAAAATTACTTGGTTGTGAGGCAAGAATGAACGTTAGAAATCCTGTAATATTCACTATTTTTTTTAAAAAATGGGGTTGATGAATAATGAGCAATTCTAGCTGTCAACGGGCACCTTAATTGACAGGCTTGACTTAAATCCAATGTATCAGTTGACCTGTCTGCTTGTCCTCATTACAGCCTACTGCACCCACGTGATGAATTCATTGTTTCTAGAATGCATGGCCCATTTAAAACTCTGCCTTTGGCAACATGAGATCCGCATGCAGAGCGACAATTGAATCGGTTTTAGGAGAAGCAAAACATGTAGCCACATGAATTCCACAGCAACCAACCAGGCAAACAACAGAAAACCAAAGGGGCAGTTTTGTAAAAGGAAATACTTGTTTGATTTTTAAAAATTATCATCGCAGATAAGCTTATTGTAATCAAAGTATATTATTGTTATTACTTACATTTGGTATAGCGCCTTTCATGCCCGGAGGATGTCTCAAATTGCTTCACAGGATTTCCTGTAAAGTGCAGTGTATTTCTGGGTGAAGAGGCAGATAATTTGCGCAATTTGCTTTGCCCCAAAGTTTGGGAAACCTCTTTATATCATGCTCAAAATCAAGATCAACAGTGAATTTTGGTAACAAGATGCTATTCCAACTATGAATTATTTATACAGAAGCAGATGTTTTATTCACCACCTTTAAGGCATTTGGCTCCATGAGTTATCTAATACCTACTCATCTGTAAAATATTAGCTCATTCGAAGAAATCTATGATTTAAGATTTTTTTCCTGAAAATGATTTACAAAAGAGTAATTATAACATTTTGCCAGTTGGAAACTGAGCTGGTTATTTTTGAAGATGATAACAATGAGACCCTATGGGAAAATCACAGAATCATACTTTGCAGATTCTGCTTGCTTATGTTTCTTGTTTTCAACAATCAGATCATGTCTTAGAGTTAGACCACCCCCCCACCCCGCCAAACAAGGAATTTATGATGAGTAACTGACCATAATCTCCCCCTCCCCCCAGCAGTGATCTGACAAAGGGGTCTACCATTGTTTTAAGATTCACACTCCAGTCCCTGTCTGGAGTACTTTTACAGAAACTGGGCTTTTATAGATTAGACACAGATTTCCTGTTTCATTTTAGTCTGGAACAAGTCGGAGTGTTTTTGTGCAGTTCAAACAAATGATCTTGAACCAAATAGTTTTTGAAGCAGATATATGTAACACCTCCATTATGGCCTACTATTCATTGGAGAGAAATAGTGTTTCTTTGCATTTATATTGCTACTATCCTCTGATTCCTGCCTGTTTCTGTGGGGTTCTCTAATGCTCATTGCTCCAGCCTGAAGCAACTCCAATTGTGATATAAAAAATATTTTGGCTCAACATGAATACTGTTATGTAACTTTGCTTCAGAGCTGTAGTAAAAAAAACATAAGTACCACCGCATATATTATAAATTATCATTAGAAGATCCTCTGTTAACTATTGGAAGCTCGAACACTGAAATAAACTCTCTGCAGTAACATTTCTCCAAACCCGTGCAACTTCAGCTCTACTTTCCACTGTCTACACTTTAAAAGAAAAAAAATTCTGAAGCAATATGAAGAGGGTTGTTTAGTACTCAGTCTTTTCTACAAGGTGTTTGGTACGTGTAAGCCCCATCTTCTGAGCCTCTCAAATTTACAATGTCAATGTCGACACTCTTAATGGTGTGTTAGAATACGCAGAAAAGTTTCATTACGGTCCTTACGTGTGAGTTATTTCTTAATGGATTTCCTTAAAAGAAACCTGAGTTAGACTTGATGACCTGAAATACATCAAACACAATTTGACACAATCTGCCTTTCGAGTGGAGTACCTACAGGTCAAATTTGAATGGGATTTCTTATCCTGTTCAGAATCACTGCAAATTACACCCCGTTGTGAGTTGCAATAATAGAGGAGGACAAGTGCATAAACTAGAGCCAAGAAAACCTGTTTCTCAGTGTGGACAATGAATGGAATAGAGGAAGAAAACCAAGTGCAATATTTTTGTGTGCTCCAAGGCAGCAGGACATATGATCACAGGATTAAGGTTATGAAAAACAATTTTAAGACAGACACTTGGAAGTATTTCTTTATTTAGCTGCTGATAAACAGCAGCTGCAACTGGGTACCAGGGTAGTTGAAGCCAAGACACTGGATTCACTTAAGAAACGGCTTGGTTCAGTAATCCAAACCTCTCTTGTGATTTCGAACCTAAAATCACAGTCATCAGCAAACTTTATATAAAGTTGAACTCGTGGAAAGCAAAATCCAGTCAAATGTTTTAAAATTCTTCCGCATTTAAATTGGTGCAAAATGGATAGTTTTTCTACAGGAGACACACTGCCAATGGATTCAAGCTTTGTGGTTTTAGTTGGTTGAATTACAGTAATACCCTAACACAAGGGGGATTCTGGGGCTCCCAAGCCTTGGCTTTGGCCAATCTGTGCCTAATATTCTTTGGAATTAGCTAAACAAGGTGCATCCCGCCACAGAGGGAGTACCCATTTCTATTCTAGGGAAATTACCATGTGCAGGTGGAATACACATGTGGGACGCTATCCGTTTTGGATACTTTTAAGCATAGTGATAGGTTTACCAAGTATATCAAACAATTGGCTGACTAAAACAAAAAGCCTGGTCTCGCAAGTTTCCTGCTGCTTGCTCCAGCTAGGACCATCCTACCTATTAAAGCTTTGGCTTGCAGGTTGATCAGTCAATGTGATACACTTCCTTTTGCTGAAAAGAGATTGTATTTGTAACTTGGAGTTATTAACAACTCCTGTAATAGAAATAGGCACTTTAGCTTTCAATGTGCACTATAATACTGTTTCTCAAGGTTTTCATGGATGTACAGTCAATCTATTAACTGAGTGGTAAGCAGAGAGGTGGTTGCAGCTGCATCCTGGCCTAACCTAAACTTACTGTCATGAGGAGTTTCACTTCCCAGTCTGTTCCGCAAGGCTGTGCCTGTAAATTGTTTTTACTCACACGAGCGTCTTGGACCATATGGTGCAAGTGTAGCCAACAATGGTCACACTCAATCACAAATACATAAAGCCGAGAATAGTTTCTAAATCTTAATGTCTGTAAATGGAATGTACTTGATTAAACTGTAAGTATTATTACAATTATCTTTTGCACAGGATGAAGCAGTGAAGAAAGACACTTTAGAGATGAATGGGTCAGTGAATTTACAGAATCCACTGATGAAATTGTAAAATGGAATAGTTCCACTGCTTCTGTGATACCTTGTACCTAATAGTATTCTCTATTATCATCACTTACCGTTTCATTTCTGGAAATAAAATTAGTAGTTTAGTCCAATTTGTCTGCTGATCAGGTAATGTTATAGCAGGATCTATAATGCAGCTAATTTCAATGAGATTCCTGAATAAGTAACCTAGACTGGTGAGTAGGATCTGCTCAAAAGAAAACTGGGTTCATTGAGTTCATGTGATTTGCTTCCTGTTACTGGAAGAAGGCCCCATTTGATTTTTTTCTAAGGATTTTTTTAAAGAAAACATCACATGTTAGTACAATTACCACTGCATGGAATACTTATTGTGAGGGATATGGGAGGGGAGGGGGTCATTGTAAACACAAAGACAGGAATATGTGAAGGCACAAATGGTGGTGGTTGTGGGGAGGGGTTAGCGGAGAGATGACCTGCCTTTTGGGAAGTACGTACGTACAAACCGTTTCAAAAGCTAACAAAACTAAAATACACGAAAGGTAACAGCCCCCAAACTTTGGAACCCTCTCCCTGAATCCCTCCACCTTGCCCCCTCCTCCCTCTTTTTCAGATCAGACCTAAAGACCTTCCTCTTTGACCATTCTTACGGTCACCTCTTCCCTCCCCCCAGGCTCGGCGTCAGATTCTGCCACTGAGAAAGCGCTCTGAGATGCTGCCCTGCGTGAAGGGTGCTAGTTGTTGCTGTTGAAAAAAAAATTTCAACATGTTTTTAACACACTCACATTGTGAAGTTATAGTCCAGAGAATTCGGTAGCTTCTCAAGATGAACAGTGTGCAAAACAGAGCTACACTTGTGGCAAATGCCATACTTTGAAATCCATTCAGTGAAGATCTGCTTTCAGTCCAGTATCTTAAAATGAAAATTGTTTTATTGATTTATGAGGTACACTCTTACAGGGCACGGTATATGAAGACCAACCTTCTGAACAATTATAGACAATGAAAGTAATCATATGAAACAGAAACTCCATTAAAAATAAATCAATAGATCTGACAAAAAATTGCACTAAGAAAATAATGTTATCAAAGGTTCATTTACATTTCAAATAACAGGTTAGAGTAACTTGGTGACAAGGCATATTGATGGGCTGATGCAGCATGTCATGCAATGATAGGACATGGTTGCTGAGTGGATTACTGCTTGTGCAACACTGCAACTTGCTAAATAACTGAAATTTGTGCGTCAACCTGGCTCAGTCGTAGCACTCTCGCCTCTGTTACAGATGGCAGTGGGTTCAAACCCCACGTCGAGACTTGGAATCCTATAGTCTAAGCTGATGCTCCAACGCAGTGGTGGGCACGCGTGTTGCATTGTCAGAGGTGTCGTCCTTCTGATGAGACATGTCCTGTCTGCCTGTTCAGGTGGATGTTAAATATCCCCTGGCACTATTCAAAAAGAGAAGGGAGTTTCTCCTGGTGTCCTGGGCAACAATCCCCAACATTGAATCAGTCACTCACTCTATGGCTGTTTGTGGATGTCGCAGTGCCCAAACTGGCTGCTGTGCTTCGTCCATAAAATACACAGTCAATCCATTTTCCAGTATATCCTGCAAAGCGCTTGGAGACATCTCATAAAGTGATAAAGCGCTATATCAAAATGCAAACTATCCACAGGCAGACAGAGGGAACGGGAGCAAGAGAAAGGAATAAGTGTAATACTTGACCTGCTATGGCACATCTTGTGGCCATCAGCTCAAAACCGCCAGCAGAATCCCGGGAGCAATGTGCCTGATATGGGAATGGCGCATTGTGTGAAAGGTGAGCGAGCGTAACAGGGGGGAGAAGAAATAAAATGAAAGAGAAAAAAAAATATTATTATTAAACCCGTTTTATTTGACACTTTCTTCCCAGTATCTTTGCCGTGAGCTATGCATGCAGAAATGCTGATCTGAAGGGAAGCATAAAGGCTGGGAATGTTAATCTTTGATTTGAATTTAAGATCACTGGCTTGTTAGCAATTTTGTTTTAAGAAATGGATGGTTAAACTGCCCGAGTTGTACAAAAAGTGCAATGGGATCTAACCTGCTTCAAACCCTTCTCTCCATAACATCAGTTTTGATTCACCAATAAACATCTTCTCTAGCGAGGATGACCTTCACTGACACCCATTCAGTTCCTGCAGTGCTGTGGGATCAAGGCTCTCTGCCCCAGGAACTGCACTCAGAGAGTAACGGGGTGGGTGGGGGGTTGGTACCCACAAAAACATTTGGGGGAATGAACAAAGGAGATGACTCGCACTGTTTTAACAATTTACTTTTCTGATGATGTTCAAATTTGTTCTTTGAAACGCCATTCAAATTTTCTCTTTTTTTAAAAAGCAAACCAAATAACTCGCACTTCACAAAGATGACCCACTTTTAACATCTCTCAGCAATTCACAATGCTATAGGTAACAAGCACAGGTGTGTGTGTGGTGTGTACGTTTGAGAGGAGAGCATTTTCTTTCCTCACATAAACGTGATCAGCTTTAATTTCCTCACGGTTAATAGGGCACCAGTCTGAGGTTGGGGATGGGCAAGATGGCGATCGTCTGCCCGTACAGTTCATTTAGAGTTGCTGAAACTTGTTTATTAGAGGCGAAGGAATCACAATGGTGCCTGTCTCTTTTAATTGCCAAGTGGCACAAGTAAAGATTGAACAATGGAATATATCTGATGATCAATACTGAATGCTAAATATGACAACAAATCCCATTGTATACCCATAGTGAACTGTTTGCAGGGATTGAAAATATACAGAACCAGTTGGCCCACGAAATGGGAGTTTCTATGGAAATGCTAATAGTTTAAGGATCTATAGCCTGGAATCATGTTGTCAACCTAATGGCGAGCTTGATCACTGGCTCTGAAGCCCATATGGCACCTGTGTATTTGGCATGAATATAATTCAGTGGACTCTGTTAAAACGAAACACTGGGGGTTCTATTCCACACTGTTGGATAATTATAGGGATATTTTCATTGTGTCCTCTTTAATGGGGAAAAAGGACATTAGAAAGAGGCAGCAAAGGAGCCATTTTTCACAATAAGTGTAAGGTAACCCGTAACGAGTGAAAAATCCGTGGCAGTCACTTGTCAGGAGTTGGTGTCCATCTGCTAAGCGTCTGGTGGCACAAGCGGTGACTCCTGAGATGGCAAACCCGTTTCCTCCTCCGGCATGTGAACGGTCAGGGTGCACGCCCGGATTCCGCCGAGAGACTCAGGCACATCGAAGACTTTCTCCCACTCGTCCTTCTGTGGGTCGTACTTCTGAACGATCTCCACCATGCAGCGATTGTTCCAGGAGTAGCCACCAATGACATAAATGTTGTCCTGGAAGACGGCCACGCCAACATCGCTCTGTCCGCGCAGCATTGGGGCGATGGCGGTCCAGTCGTCCACGGCCGGGCAGTAGTACTCGCAGCTCAGTACGTCGTCGTAGTCGTTCGTGCCTCGGAAGTGGTTTCCCCCGATGACGTAAAGGCGATCCCCAATCGTGCACATACAATGCAGCCCTCTCACAGTGGACATCTCGGTTTTCTGAGACCAGCTGTCGGTTTCTGGATCATAACACTGCAGCTCTCTCTGGAATGTGTCATGGGTGATCCCACCTGAGGTAAAGCACAGATTTTAACAGGGCAACTTTAAGGAGGGTGACGGGTCTATGGCATGACATCTGACGTCAGTCTCCCATACACTAACAAGGGAATGTCACTGGCAAAATCAGCATTGCTGGAGGTTTAACCTTTCCCAGGCTCTCTTTGGCCTTTGACCTTTTATAGGTTGGCTTGTCAGGTTTACCAAAATCCTCAAAAATCTGGTTATTAAAACCAGGGAAAATACATAAGTGGTCATCGTGGTCTTTCCGTAACGGCAGGATTCCGAGACCTTGAAAATCTCAAGTTTTGGCTTGAAATCCCCATGTATGTCACCTCCCCGAGATCACCTCAGGGCTAACCCTGGCGAGTCAGTGTAACGTAGTTGGATCTTTAATGTCCACCTGATCAGACAAACGAGTCTCCTGCAGGAAGCCTTACAGGAGACGTATTTGTCTGATCAGGTGGACATTAAAGATCCCGTGGCACTATTCAAAAAGTGCAGGAAGTTTCTCCCAGTGTCCTAACCAACAATTCCCCCCAGTTAAAAATGATCATTCGCTTCATGGCTGTTTGTGGGACATCGGCTGTGCCCTACAAATACACAGTCATTTACGTTAGCAATAAGTTCTGCAAAGCACTTTGAGCCCCAGAGGAGTATTGTGAAAGTGCCGGTTATGTTAATTTCCAATAACCAATTTTTGAACCCCAAGTGTAAGCAATTCTATAACAGTGGAGCTGTTTCACTGCCGATCATGTAGTTTTTACTGACCTGATATATACATGTATTTCCCATGAACAGTCCCAGCGTGTCCATAGTGAGGTTCACTCATTCGAGTCACGTACGTCCACTCATTGGTTGCTGGATTATAGCATTCAACGGTGGCTATCAAAAACAACAACAGAATAACAGAGATTAATCTACTTGCTTATTTGTCTTTCCTAAGATTGAAGAGGGTTCAACAGAACAGGTTCCTGATTCTTGTTTAAAGTGACAGTTCTACGCAACAATGGTGAAGGTTGGATAGAGTTTGGTCTTTTACCCACAAGTACATTAATGGCACTTCCTTCACCAGGCTTTTATGGTGAGAAGGCATCAAAGAGATCGTCATAACACTGCTGCTGACACATGAAAAGAAAAACTACCTAGTGGCTGATAACACTGCTCCAGCCATCAAGTATGATTGATTCTAATCTAAGGGCAGTTTCCGTCTGGCATGCTACAGAGATCACTGCACTTAGCAAAACTCTGGGAAGCCAACAGCTGTCTGGAGGCTTGAACTCAATGAACAACATCAACAAAATTACATTTGTATAGTGCCTTTCACGTCTGGAGGACATCCCAAAGCAAATCATGATCCGCTCTCAAGCATAGCCTTTTACTACCTTTCACCAAACAAAAATGCTCGATCAACTGGTCATACTAGGAAATATAGGGCCTAATTTATAGTATAAACATAAGAATTGCTGGACAGAAGAAGACCAAGGTAGTTCCAATTTGCCTTCCACTATCCTGGCAGTCGCATGCATATGTCATGTCCCAAACTATATACTCTATCCCAAGTTATTATTTCCTAAAAGAAATCTAGTTTACTTGCTTTCGAAAGCATCAACACCTTCTGCTTCCAATGTCTCCCGAGGGAGCTATTCCATACATTTGCTACTTGCTCTATGGATTTCTAACTCTGCTCTATTAATAGATTGTGGCTCAATGGTGCTCCTGCAGACTGTTGACATGGACTTTTGGTTGTTGGAAGGAACTCCAGTTGCACAAGTCAGATTTCTTATTAAGGAATCCTATTAAGAAATGTAGTACATTAGATCCCACAGGTTTTACTTGTTATTCTCAAGCAAGGTCACACCAGAGCTCATCATGCAGCGTACTAAATACTGCTGGATATATCTGGTTAAAACAGTATGAGAATAATCTTTTAATTACAATGGCAAATAATCATTGAATTTATCATCGAGACTTCTCACAGCACTTCACAGGATATAGTGTAAAGTGATGTGATTATGTGTATTTGATGGACGGATATCAAATGCAAGGAAGATTATTTCTCTTTTCTCTCCCAATGCTCTCATCGAGTTTCCTCTCAAATTCATCAATGCTTTCTGCTTTAACCACAACTTTCCACAATGTCACCACCCTCTGTGCAAAGAAGTTTCTCCTGAACTCTCTTTCCGATCTGCTAGTGGCTATCTCTCTTTCTTGTTTTACCAAAAAAGGAAAACTGTGGAAAACTTGCTTCCAGATCTAGACAAATGCAAACAGAAGTTTTCGTTTTGTTTCTCCTATTAAAGATTTCAACCACTAGACAAAGCGATGGAAAATCCTGTCTATCTTCACAAATGTGTGCTGGAGATATCTAACGCTTCTCAATGGAATCAATTGTAATATGATCAAGTCACCACACTTTTAAAACTGAAATAAAAACAGATGTCCGAATATTTGTTCTTTTTTTGACCGACTACTTTCATTCCTAATGAGCTATTGAAATCACTTAAAGTACATGCTCAGGCAAGCTAAGCAATATTAAAGGCAAGTAGTTTAGCGCAACCCTTTTGCCTTAGCCCCCACCCACCCCCACACAAACTGGTCATGGTCCAACACAGCCTAATACAGTCAAACATTGTAATAATACAGTAGTTTGAGATGTGACCAGTTAACCAGGAGAAACTTACTTCTCTTTTCGAATAGTGCCATGGGATCTTACCGTCCGCCTGAACAGGCGAATGGCACCTCAGATTAATGTTTCATCTGAAGGATGTCACCTCTAACAGTGGAGCACTCACTCCCCCAGCACTGTATTTGGAGTGACGATCTCGACTGTGAATTCAAACTCCTAAAGTGGGGCCTAAACTTGCTGCCAACTAAACCAAGTTATCAGTCCCGGTATGATATCACCAAGCCATACCATCAAGAACCTCCCATCCCCACAACACACTATCCTGGCAGTCGCACAGAGCTGCTAAATGGACTGACTGAGCGTTAATTGGGTTTACTAAAATGTTACCTAATTCTCCAGCGACGTTCCTGCCTCCGACTGCATACAAATGTCCTTTAAGAGCACTGAGGTGGAAAAAAGTTCTCTTTTCATTTAAGGAGCCCATGCGTTTCCACTTGTTGTAGCGTGGGTCGTATCTGTACGTCGTATCCACGGCAGTCTTCCCCTTGGTGTCATAGTTGCTCTGTCCGCCGACCACAAACAGGAAGTTGCCAATGACAGCCACACCGTGCTGGTACCTGGGCACATCCATAGCCGCCAGGGACTTCCAACTTTGGCTCTTCTCGTCAAACAAGCGCAGCTCCTTGCTGACCAGAAGCTGCTGACGCAGCACGCCTCCCAGGGTGACCAGATGAGTTTCATCGGAACGGATCTGAGTCCTCTCCGATTGCATGACGGGCTGCATGTAGGGCAACATCTGATAGTTGCTGGCTTCGAGCAGAAGATTGACACACGTGGTGTCCGTTCGCATGAACTCCACCTTCTGGACGTGGTCCAGGAGCTGCTGTGGAGACATCAGTGGGAAGCGAATGTTCTTCATCAGCTTCGCAGCAAACTGCATACGGCCCTCCTCCTGCTTCAGCCACTGACAAGCCGCCTTGAATAGCTCGAGTTCTGGGCAGTTCTGCAGGCTGTCGCTGCTGAGCACAAAGGCCAGCTGGTCATATGAGAGCTTGATGTAGTCCCCATTGCTCAACAAGTTGGCGAAGTTCTTCAGGAGGCAATCTTTGATGTAATCATCTACTTCAGACAAGTGGTAAGAGCTGGCGATGCGTCCAATTTCTACGCAGTTCTCAAGACACACCTGAGAAAGTGTGACAAGAGTTGAAGGGTGGTTAGCCAGCAAGCACAAAGTTAAGTCAAGCTATAGTTCAACCCTGTTAAATAAACTCTGCAGTATAGCAGTGACCCGTATTAAAGCAGCATTTTACTTAATTCAGATGTTATCAGCAATGGCACTTTCTACACTACATCATAACATCAAAACTCCTCCGACTCCCTCCCTCCTTCATCTCATTCCAGGTCCATTTCAAGACCCACCACTTTCACCACACTTCCGGTTTCCCCTTCCCATCCCTCTCAGCTCCCACTGCCAGCTCAGATTGCTAGGCCAGGATTGTTAAGTGTGTTATGATGTCTCCCCAACATGAAAGGCACTATATATATATATGTAAATTTGTATTGCATAATACCGTGGGTTATCCTAGTAAGTGCCACACTATTAGGTTGAATTGCAGCACTCCAATTGCAAACTCAGAACAAAATGGAGGTCAGTTGGCTTTTTGGGGACTAAGATGGCTGCTGGCCGAGAGGCCTGTGTGTATTATGTCCTTCGCAGTAAACAAGGGAACGAACAACTGACCAATGAGACACCAGAAATGGCTAAGTGAGATAAGGAGGAGGGACCCTGGTCACTATAACTGGCCAGACTTGCAACAGCTCCTGTCTTTCTTGCCAACAGCTCACAATTAGGTTGGTGCAGATTCAAATAACTCGTGCTTGTAGCTGTAGTGTTATTGGAATTTCAGTTTTTCAGGGAACTAACTACAGAGTGACTCTCCAAGCAATGTTAGGGTAGTGGGCACTGCGAGTGCCAAATCTTCAATGGTGCATCTGCTCCTAGGGTGCCTCAATGTAGCAAATGAGGTTCAAGCCTTGGGGTGTTGTGAGGTCATGGGCTAATTAATTTTCTTTTTCCCTGAAGGGAACTGTGGAGATGTCTTCATATCACCTACAAAGTAGACACTACAGGTATTACATTTTATTGTGAAATCCTGTAAAGTACTTTGTGATGTCCTCTTGGCATGAAAAGTGCTATAATCAAATGCAGTGATTGGATGTTTTAATTATTATTTATTAACCCTGATGCTACCTTCCTTGTCTGTCTCTGAATTCCCCTCAAAGCTGTTACCTTAGTGAAAATCTATACCAATCTAGGTTATTGTGGTAACATCAAAACCATTGTGGTTCAGTATAATAATCTCATGCAAATTGTGGGTTGCTGAAAAGTCACCGTAACTATACTTGCTGTCTGGGTGCTGACCCAAAATGGCCTGGAGGAGCATGCTTGTGGAACCTGGTTGTCTGCAATTCAGCTATTGTGTTTGCTTTTAAAACAGTCACTGCCCTTCACGGTAAATCCTGTGAACCACTTTGAGAATGTCTTCCTGAAGTGAAAAGCGTTTTATCAAAGGGGCTTATTATTTATTAAAACCTGAGAAATCAGGAGCTCTTTGCAAAATTCCAGGATGGGCATGATCTGCAGGAAGCTGGCTGCTTCCAGGGTGTCCTGGAGATTATCCATGTTCAGAGGCATCTTTGCAGTGTAGATGAATTCTATGATGTTCTTCAATCCTATCCCGCTCACTCCGTGGAGTTTGATTGTCATCAATTCCTGTTCCTTCATCCCACCTGAAACCAATTATACCAGGAATTAGAGATTTAAATGTTCCATCTGCTCCATCAGCTTCTTCCCTCTGGGAAATAGAGCCAAAACAAGGCAGCAAAATGTTAAAAGCTGGAGCTAAGCTGACTAGACCAGAAAACACTCCTGCACACAAAATGGGTTGTGAAAATATGGATGGCACTACTGTAGGTGCAAAATTGACTGATACTGAAATTGACTGAAGACTAATTCTTGAGCAGCAAGGATATTAAGAAATACTGGGGTGGGGGAAAGGCAGGGAAATGCGATTAAAAGATCTGTTACACTCCAATAAAATAGCAGAACAGGCTCAAAGAGGCAGAACGACCTACTCCTGTTTCTGTGTTCCCAGAACGCTTTATATTGCATTTCAGGAATTCTCATTGTATCCATCTGTTGGTGCGGATTACAAAAAGAGTTGCAAATATTCTCACTTTTTTTAAAAAAAGAGATCTGCATTCCTCCTGTCTACATTTGGATTTCAACCAAAGCTGAACAGTAATGTGTTGCTGCCCAGTAAAACCTCAGTAATCATTCTCTTCCTTTTCCAGTTTGTTTGGTCTACATTTCTTTGAAAAAAATATTAACCAGGCTAGAACCAGGTGATTTGGCATCTTATTTGTTTTGGGAGCGAGATTAGACCATAATGCTGGGAGAGTTTTCTCAAATGTACAACAGCTCGCGTTTACAGGGTGACCAAATGTCGTGATATCCTTACAATGTCTTAAACAGTCTTAAAGAAATTATGATTTTTTTTAGACAATAGGGTAGATATCACAACTTTTTGGTCACCCTGTAATATAGTGCCCTTCACATGGGGTAGCATCTCGGAGTGCTTGATATGAATATGTGGATACAGAGGTGGTCTTAGTGGTTTGTCATGTGCTTTTTGAAATTATTATCTCCAAATGCAATTTCTGCTTCACCATAACATCTTGGACTTGGATCTGTATTATAACAACATACTCTTATGTAAAAGAAACCTCTTGAATGGAAACTGAGATTAATTACAGATTAAGTGAATGAGGCACATTTCTACCATTGACATCCTACAATAAGAATAAGTAGCCAATTAAAGAAATATAAGCCGAGATAGCCAAGAGAAAAAACGTCTTCGAAATCCCTTTTTACTTGTTGGAAGTGTGTGTTGCATTCAGTGTAACTGAATACATCACACACTTCACAAGTTTTGCTCTTATTTATAATTTTTTTAACTCATCACCAAGGCTTGAGACACACTGCTGTCCATCACTTAGAATAAGAAACCAAGCAGATTTCTATAACTCAGACATTATGATCAGCAGTGCCCCCTTTAAGATCATATTTTTAAATGCAGTCATGGGATGATGAACTTTGAGTTCAGCCATGGGTTGAGCTACTTTTCCGAAGTGCGAGAACATGCACGTGTTTCCGTCCCAGTCACAATGTGGTGACTTCTATCAATATGAGAACGCAAGGGTGAAAGGACATGAAAGTTCTGCAGTATCTAACTCAGATCTTTAGCTCCCATGTTTGTTTTGGGTCGGCCAGGCTCTGATACTTGCAGAAATCTTTTGTCACACTTAGGAGAATTCAAACCTGTGTGTTGCATATATGTATAGACATTTTGCCTATAAAATACAATCCCCTTTGAGGATTAACCGTTGCATTACCACTGACTTAAAGACCAGCACTACATTGAACATCTCGTGGAAAGTCCTAGTAATAAGGAAGTACAAAATGACTTCATTAATTTAAAGGATTTAGCAATGCGAACCATGTGATATGTTCATCACATGATTGGGCTGGACTTGGACTTTCTTTCCTCCATTCCCCTCCCCTCACAAGGCAAATCTTAGTGAGCTTAGAGAAGCTGGATCCACAGCACTGGAAATATGATAGAATATTACACTCCTTTAAAATAAAAACATTGGTACTTACCTGTGAACATGGCATTGAAATAGTCACTGGCAGATGCCATCATGGCTCTGTGGACTGGGAAACGTTCATCTCCGTCTTCTGGCACCAAAGTAACATCACAGAGTAAACTATTGGTCCTCAGGTTGTTAAAACCCTGAGAAGTAAAGAAATTGCATTACTTTTGTTTTTTCCCCCCCCCCATCTGCCAATCTTCTCTCCTAATTTCCTTCCCCTCCGTCCTTCCATACAGTCAGTTGTAGGGCTTCCTACTTATGTCATAGGTTTTTATTTCCTTGAAGGCATTTTTGACTCCTTATTTCTCTCACTGCTTGTGGTTCCACAGGTGCCCTTTCGGCCCAACTCTCCAAGTGAGAATTCTTCATTATGTTAGCAAAGAGAGTGCTGCAGCAGACTACAGTACAGGAATAGTCAAACCATATCCTTGCCCAATGTGTACACACACACACACACCTTCTCACAGGGATCTCCGAATAGAGTTCAGGAGTGGGAACTCTGGTTGGGTAACTGGTTAGGAACAGGAAATAGAGCCTGAGTTTTAATGGTACACTTTAGCTCCAGCCATTTGTTTCAGTAACTGAGCCAACGGGGAGCTCAAATGCCATTACACGCGGGGCATGTGTGTAAGATATCGGTGAGGAGACACATCACCGTTTGTCAGCAAACTGAAAAGGGATTGGTTCTAGTAAACATGACCCAAATGAGCAAAGCAATGTCGAAAGCTAAATGCATTGTGTGGTCTGGTGCCTCACTCTTCATCATCCTTATCTTCCTGTATATAGAGTCAGGTGGCACTTTCAGAAAAGGAGAGGAAGTCACTGAGAAAAAAGTGAGAGAGAGAGCAAAGCTTGCACACTGTAATGACAAGCAGGTGTGTAAGGACGATATTACAACTTAAACATATTCTTCCATTAAAAAGTAAAGGCAGAGCTAGAAGCAAAACACTAATTATACATCTCGGTGGCAAGAAATCTACTCGGACTGGAAACAGATTATCTGAAGCAAAGCAACTGTAGTCGATGTGGAATCAATATTTAGAATGCAGCTGTAAAATGCTGGTTTAGTGGGTTTCAGCCTTCACTGTAACCATGGTAGGCTTAATAAATATTAATGAAAATCTGGAGAAGTGTAAGAGACACAGATGTGAAGTTGAACAAAAGGCTGTAGCAGGTCTGTGGGAAAGTGTTTTGCAGCTGATCAGGGAAATAGCTCACTCGCCCTAAGTTGCCAGGCTGCTGGAAGGCTTGTCTTTGTGATTTGCTGCACTGTCTAATGCTACTTTTATGTTAAGATCTTGGTGGGTAGGGGGGTGGTGGAATGGGGGTTGAGAAAAGAGAAGAGAAGCCTCCCAGAGATCACTTGTGGCAAATGTCATTCTGTGAATGTGTAAATATCACAGTGATGTCTTGACCTCAGAATGTGCACCAATGTTGTGGGGTCAACTTGCTCCGACTCTGTAATTGCCAACTATCAAATCAGCCTCTGAATCTGATCCGGAGCCATTTTAAAATACTAGTTGCCTCTGAAGGGATTACTTAGTTCATCAGCCATTGGTTTTACATGAGCTGTGCTGGGTGTTAATGATTGCCAGCCTGGTGGAAGAGACTTTTCTGTTAGAGAGCCCAAAATACTCCAAGCAAAACGTACATTTTGGTCACGGTATCACATTAGGGTCATCTTGACACTAGAGAGGGAGAGTACAATAAAGGTCAACCAGCTGGAATATCTAAAATGCAAGGAAATCAACTGAGGCTGGGAATGTTCAACTAGAAAAGGCCAAAGGGATATCCTACTGTAACATTGAAGACCTTGAACGGTACAAATAATTATAAGATTTTGTTTTAACATAGCCATAAATTTTACAAGAAGGGGCACAGACCCTAGTCCTGAAGAGGGAAGGTGATCAGACTGTTTAATTACACAGTTGCATAGAGCGTTACAACACGGAAACAGGTCATTCAGCCAACTGATCTATGATGGTGTTTATGCTTATGTATATTCCATGATACTTGTTGCCGATTAATCATTCAATATGAAATTGACGACTGGTTTGCACAAAGGAATGTCACAGAACTGTGCTTAATTTTTACCTCCAGAACCGTAGCACTATGCACTTCACTGCTGAAGATTTGGGTACTCCCAGGAGAAGTGGAGGGCTGGTGATAGGTGGACACTCCCATCCTGTTACAGGCTACAGACACCTTCACGGATACAGTATCCTCTTCGAGCAGCGAACTGAAGGTACAAACAATTGAGACAAGAGTTTAGTGACACAGGATTAACAGCAGCAGTTATCACAGCAGCAGCTCTTTCTGCAACAATCTCAGGAGAGGGAATTGACAATATTTATGGGTTTCATACAACAGAATAAATCTCATATTCAGATCTTAATGCCTTCAATGATCGGGGTGAGATGTGGAAGGCATTTTTCTTTTTTTTTTAGTCAGCCTGGTGTCTGATACATACAGTCCCCAAACTAAACCAGACTGAGAATTCTGCACATATATCCTGCAAATGCATAGAAATGTTTCCTCTCTATCTAGAATGGAAAGCGCACTCTTTCTCTCTCCTGTGGGACACACCCCACTTGCCTAATTCCTGGGAGTATTAAGTGCAGGTTGGCTTAGCAAGAGCCAAGACTTTGGGACCCTAGTGTGCATGTTGGAATGCTGCTAATGAGTTAATTTGCTAAAACCTCATAGTCTGTCATTGAGAGCAATGACAAAAGAAACTACTGTACGCAAACGTACAGTGGGCATATATAAGGGTGTGGTGGAGAGAATTACTTTGCAGTACTGTCTTGCCTGCAAATTCCTGTCACTTTCAAAGGCTTTACATTTTAAACAAATTTCACAGATTGCTTTCTCCTCAGAGATTAGATATTCTCTTTCTCAAAACATCCGTACTTTGAAGTGAGAGCAAAGGCTCATTTGCACATGGATACATCACCTCAGTAAGACATTGCCTCTGCAAATGTAACACAATCCCTTTCGCTCAAACCTGGATTGGCTTTGGGAAAATTAATATGTGTGTACAGATCTCTCTGCGTGACCTGTTTGCTCAGCTGTAAAAGGCTTTGGCAATTTAGTGACTCAAAAACACCTCACAACCAAATTGCTAGCCTATCTCTCTCTTCTAGGAACCCACTGACTGCAGCATGTTTCCATCTTGCGTTTTTATTTTTCGGATTAAAACACTGACTGATTTTTAAACAAACATGACAAGTGACTCACTGTCAATTTCTATCTCATTTATAAAGGAATGACTGGACTGGAAACAGTCGAGCATGTTTCCGAGATGCAGGGAGCAATGCAAAACGTGCTGATCTCCGGGAGCCCTGTCCTTTCATTATAAGTAAACGTAAACTCGCTGTAAACTCTCTGGTAATGTGCTGGTTCTAATAATATAATAATCCCAGCATTTTATATAGGGTCTATTCCATTAAAACTTCTCAAAGTGCTTCACAGGTCATTACTGTCAAGTGGTGTGTGTAGGCGCGCACAACAGTCATGTTGCACTCAGCCAAAATTTTACAAACAAACCAAGTTTCCTGGAGGACTGTTGGCCAGCAAAATGTTCTCCTCTTTGAAGATATTGTCGAGCAGTCGACCTTTTGTGTTCACCCGAATGAGCAGATGGGTCTTCGATTTAATGTCGTTGAAAGGACAGCACCTCCAACACTGCAGTGCTTCTCTCCCCTCTTCTCCCCAGTATTATAGTAACAGCTCAGAATGTGATCTTAAAGGCCCAATTAAGGCTTTGACTTGCAGGATTGACTGGAACTGAGTGGGAAGAATCTCTGCTCCCACTGACTGGTCTGTCCCTATAGATCCTGCCGATGAGACAGATTGGCTGTTCTGTCATCATCAGTGCCCTGGAGTCCTGTGGATCCACCTAGCTCAGGAACCGGACTACCGAGACAGCCACAAAGAGTTAACTCAATTCTGACATCCTGTTGCCATGCACATCATCATGGAGCCAACTCAGTCCCAACAGGACCCCTCTTATACCTTTCCCAAGAAGGAATGCGTTTCATCCTGCTCCTGGACACAGTTATTCATTACTGATACTTATTTAACTGCTTTGAGACGCCTCAAAGATGTGATAAGGTGCTATATCAAATGCAAGGATTATTATTATTATTTGAATGGTTGACTTTCCTGTATGAAGAATCATCTATGACTATGATTAGATTTTTAACAATAATCCTCTACACTGTTTAATTCTGTTGAGTACCCAGGAGAGATACCGAGGAAGAATTATGCACCAGTTCATTGAGTGGTAACAGTTTTTACACTAGGATATCCGGGGCTTTCCCAACACCACTTTTAATAGGTCCTTTGAACCTGCACTGTGCAGAACCCAGCAATTCAGTGTCAGTTTGGGTATATTGTTTTACCACTTTAATTCGACTTCTGTATCATTGCTTGTGATAACTATCACATCAGGTACAATATTTTACACCCCAGATTTATTTTAAAAGAATTTGAGTGCTTCAAGATGTTCAACCTATGTGAAAGGCACTATTATAAAGCAAGTTTTAATCATATAACTGCATATAACTTTTCCCTGCTCCATCTGACGTTAAAAGACACAATGGAGTGCCTCCACGAGTCGTGCAAAGTAATGTAGCTAAGAGGTATTGGCACGGCAGACATGTGATGCACCACATCAGTGTTGTGAAACAATCTATAGCAAATTCCAAAGTAAGATGTGGAACAGGTCACGACATTTCATAGTAAAGCCTGTGAAGCACTTTGAGACGTCATCACGTGAAAGTCACTTTATGAAATAATTAATAGTAATCCTTGCAATTTTTGATATGATTCCTTTCACATCAGCTGGTTGGCCTAATGCGCTTCACAGGATATACTGTAAAGTGCAGTTACCATAACAGACAATTAGCACACAGCAATGTCCAACAAACAGCCATGAAGTGAATGACCAACCTTATTTGGGGGATTGTTGGTCAAGACACTGGGAGATATATCATGCTGTTGAGACATCTCAAAGCACTTCACAGGATTTTATTGGGTAGTGACTGTGCATTTATAGGCAAATGCGGCTGCGAATTTGTGCTGGGCAACATCCCACAAACAGCTATGAAGTGAAATAGCCATTTTATTTTCCAAATGCAAGGCCAATTATTATTTGGTCATTTTCCATAACAGACTCTAAAATCCATGATTGCTGAATTGCAGAGACTCTGCTGATTTAACGTGAAATGCCACAAGTAATATTCTTCAGCAGAATCTCCTCCCTGGTGGGAATTGCTTTTTGAGCTGTGAAACCGTGTCACAAGGTTGTTATTTCAAACTAGCAGCAATTTGTCAGATAATTGAAAGAACAAGAGCCATTTCAATCCATTACACAGAAGGTGGCTACTGGGAGCTGCAGGTATCATGAAATCTTTACTTAACCAGAGGGTACTAATGCATCCTATTAGTAATAATAATAATTGCATTTGATATAGTCCTTTCATGTCAGGAAGACATGTTAAAGGGCTTCACAGGAATACTGTAAATAATAATAATAATCCTTGCATTTCATATAGCATTTTTCACATCTTCTAGACGTCTCAAAGCGCTTCACCGAATATACTGTAAAGTGAATGGACTGTATATTTATGGGTGAAACGCGGCAATTAATTGCACAGAGCAGTGCCCTGCAAACAGTGGTAGATTGAGTGACCAAATTTTTTTTTGAAGGGATCATTATCCCCAGAAAAGTAATCCACCAATTGGCTAACAGCCGGGTTTCTACTTACTGCTAGGTAAAAAGAGGTAAACAATTTTTATTAAATGTAGGTGACCTGGATTTGTTTGGCGAAACATGTAGTCCAGGTTTTAAAAAAACACAATTAACAGAATGATACAATGAATTGGATGTTACTAAAGTGAAATTCAAATCAATTAAATAAGAGGAACTAGAATGTTAATATCACTGTTGTGAGTGCCAGTGGGTACATAACCCCCCAACATACACTAGGAATTCTCTTATCAGGAGAACTCCAATTGAGATGTCAGTAATGGGAAAGTCTTGCACAAAGAAGACACATTACAATAAAAAAATTACATTTGTATAGTGCCTTTCACGTCGGGAGGGCGTCCCAAGGCATCAGACAGAATGAACTGCTTGCTTCGATGTTTTAATCACTTAATGCATGTTAAATTATTGACGCAGACAATTTCTGCTCTGTGGACAATTTTGAGGCTGAGACATAGTTTTTTTTCCCCCTGCGAAAACACTGGGCTGTTATCCAAGTAGAGAATAACTGTACAGAAACCATGGGTTCCTCTTCAATCTGTTGACTGAAAGGTTGGGCCCATTGCCAAAGGATGTACCGCATACGCTTGCAAAGCCAATAATGTTCTCACTGCGTTCCATGTCCTAAACTATGGTGAAGGTAATTCCTTTGCTGTTTGGGCAGGGTCTGAATTTTTTTNCACTCTGACACTAAACTGGTTGAGGCTTGTTCCAAAAAAGACGCACTGAAATTTGTTCCAAATGCTGATCGCGGCCAACACAAAACATTGGTTCCCCTCTCTTGTTCTCTCGCTCTTGGCTCAGAGAGGGAGAGCAATTTCAGCACATGAGGAAGTTGTCCTTTACCCGAGGGTAATTAATGACTTGAACGTGTTGCAGGTTGAGGGGAGTGTGGTTGAAGCATGACACTGAACTCATTTAAGTAATAGCATTGAAGCTGTCATGGGAGGATGGTAGGGTGGGTGTTGTCTGGAAGGATGCATGCGGTGGATTAAAGGGCCTTCTTCATCCAAAATGATCTTGTGAATCACTAAGTCAGCACAGACCATCGATTTTGCAGTACAGCCTCTATTCTTAGTCCTTGATTAGAGGTGAGCACCTCGCTTACATTTTACACTTCTCTGAACGCTGGGTCTAACATGCTCCACAGCAAAGCCCATAATTCATCAGTGAGCCAGCTATTACTTTTCTCCAAACACTCGGTGTGATTTTTACACAGATGGATTCTGTGGATGGGTTCTCTTTATCTCTCTCTCTCTCCTGCCCCCCCACCCCCCCCCCCCACCCCCCCACCTCCCACCTGAACCTCTGTCCACTCTTCCAGTATGAGAAAGAGAATCCTCTCCCAGAAATGTTCTTGAACTATAGTTAGCATCCTTTATAAATAGTCATTCAGCATTACGACAGATATATCCGTTCCTCTAATGCCCAGTGTGAGACTTGCTGGAACCTGGTAGCCTTACACTTCAGCAAGCTGTGTTACTGAGCGGTGGGTACACCTTTGCACCCTTAATCCCACACACGTAGCAAATTCTTCATCTCATTCCTCCTGATGGTGGGGAACGGCAAACCCAGGAGTGATTGGGGGGAGAGGAAATAACCTGAAGGGTGTGTGGTCAATGGAGACTTCCGTTCAGCTCTTTGGGACAGGTGTGAGTGTAGGGAGGGGAGAGGGTGGAGGTGAGGGAAAGGAAGGTTGTCAATCGTGTGGTAGATTGTGTGGTTAGAAATGGCTATCTTTATCACCCATTTATAATGGGAAGTCCCATTGTAATTAAGTAATAAAAAGATCTATTTTTAACAATCGCATGATACACACCCCTGTGTCAGATATCCTAGCAACATTCCATTGGCCTGAGAGCAGGTTTCCCTCTTGGGCTCTGAGCTGATGCATGGTGTGTGGGGGAAGAGAGGATTAAAAGAAGGAAGAGTATAAATTGAATCTATGCCCATACTATATCACCCACAAAATATACAGTCAATTCACTTCACAGTATATTCTGTGAAGTGGTTTTAAATGTCTCGAAGACATGATAAGGCGCTATATCAAATGCAAGGATTATTGTATACATACAGTATATAATGTGTATGTTTTTATGCATACAGATATAAATATATATTCATACAAATGCTTACTATATGTAATATAATATTAAAACACAATGTTGGTGTTTATACCAAAAGCGGAATTTTGGTATATTGGTCACTTATTTGTTTGTAGGACACTGCTGTGCACAATCGGCTGCTGCGTTTCGTCCACAAAAATACACAGTCAATCCACTTTACAGTATATCCTGTGAAGCTCTTTGAGACGTCTGAACTACATGATAAGGCACTGTATCAATTGCAAGGATAATTATTATAATATTATTACATTAACATCTAAGACGTAAATATTTGTAACAACAAATGTCAAAGACTCCCTTGGGGAACAGGATGTGAGTCTTGCCGACCTGCGCTCAGGAATTCGCCCCGGATGGGCGACTCATCAGATTAGCATTAGGAATCCCAATTTGTAAATGGGAGCGATTTGTTAATTTATTCCCTTGCCTATGTGGACGGTCTTGCAGCATAAAGCTGCCCTTAATTCAATGCTAATTGGCACTCAATTAGCAACTCGCTCAGAGGCTGCAGAATAGCTACTATGTAAATTATGACAGCAGAAGGACCTTTACTCTGCTTCTAACTGTTTGTACTGACCTGGTAGCATTCGGCTCAGTGCTGATTCTGGATGCTCCAAAGGTCTATTTCCAAGCACCAACACGCTTCAACTGATCAGCACAAGCTTGGGGATGTTTTTCTCCCACAAAAAAATGCACATTATATCCTAACCCACGTGAAGGGCACTATATAAATGCATGTTGTTGTTATATTCAGTGTGTGTGTGTGTATATATATGTGTATATACACCAGTTGTTAGTCAATTGGCGGATTACTGTTCCGGGGTAATAATTCCTTCCGAAAAAAAATAATAAGTAAATTGGTCACTCAATCCACACTGTGCGCAATTGGCTGCTGTGTTTTGCCCACAAAATATACAATCAATTCACTTTACAGTATATTCTGTGAAGCGCTTTGAGACGTCTCGAAGACATGATAAGGCACGATATCAAGTGCAAGTATTATTATTACTATGAAGCGTATATATCACATGCACATAAAACAATCTTTACAGATTCTACAGTCTGGAACTGAAGTTAAATGATTGGTATGGTCACCGGGGAAGTGGAAGCCTGAAGTTTTTATAACAGGGCAGGTTTCTATAGTTGGGGGGGGGATTAAGGAATGCACTTGAAGAAAAAAAAATCTAACTTTTTAAAAGCTGCCTTCAGTAAACATTTGCATTTTCCCGATACCTATGCAGCCCACACCCTTTGGCAAAAACGTATTTGATTAAAATAAGTCCACACCCTGTCAGATGCCAGTCTTACTATCAAAACATAGGAAGGCATCAGGAAGGAGCAAGGCTGACTGCAATAATTTCATCCAACTGCAGTCTTCCTCCTGCTCAAACATTTAGCACGTTCACCTTTGCACACTGTTTCGTGTGTGTGTGTGTGTATATATATATATATATAAAAAAAAGACAATGTATGTGTCAATTTCTGATCGTTTTCCCATCGATCCCACAACCTTGTGGTGGTGTAGCCTTCCTCACACAGACGCACACATCAGACACACACACACACAACAGACACAGCCACACACACACACACACACACACAGTGTGGTTTGTTCCCACTGTCAGCTCACAAGACCATCCCTTTCTGCAGAGAGACAAAATGCCACTTACATGTAGGTCGGGGAGAGGGAGGCTGCCTGGGAAGCCTTGAGAACAGAAACCAAGAATCTCTTGTCACTGGGGCTGTTGCAGAGTTTCCATTTCAGAGGCATGATGAACTAGATCACACAGGCAGCACTGCTGGTCATTTTGCAACTCACAACGAGGACCTGCTCTCACACTCACTCTCTCCCTTTCTTTCTCTCCTCTCTCTGTCTCTTCCTCTGATTGCGCTGTCTCCCCTCTTGGTAACTAAATCTCTGCAGACGAGGTCTATATATAGCAGAGCATGATCCAGTTAACGCTGTGGCTTTCTAAAACTGGCAGATTGAGGAACTTGAGCTTGTTGTACTTGGGAGGCTTCTCTCTCACTGGCTCCCTCTCTCGCTGTGCTGCACTTTCCTTGCTTACTGGTGAACTATTTACTGGGAAATCTACCTTTCGTGGACATCTGATTTTTTAAAAAAAAAAGCACCCCACAAAACCACACGGTGGGAAAGTGGAGCATTTTTTTTCCCCCAGTGCTGTTTTCTTGGTGGGAGAAGAGGGATGTTTTTTTTTCTTCTTTGGGGAAGGTGGGATGGGGGCAGAGAAGGAGGTCTTGAAGGGAAGATAAGAGTGGACAGATGGAATGACAGAGGATGCTCGATGAATATATATATATATAGGCAACTCCAAATGTTTGATGCAAACAGAAAAGCAGAACCCAGCAATTATCTCCTGCTCTTTAAATAATAATCATAATCCTTACGTTTGTTATAGGGCATATCCCTTCAGGAGGGTGTCTCAAAACACATCACAGATTTACTGTAAATTGCAATGACTCTATTTTGTGGACAAGTCAATTTTGCAGCCCTCGATTTTGTGTATCAAAGTGTCCCACAAACAGCCACAATGTGATTTTTTTTAAAAAAAATGGGGGGTTTGTTAATTCTGGACAACAACAACAACAACTTGCACTTATTATTATAGCGCTTTCCACGCAGGGTAACATCTCAGAGAGCGTTACAGTGAGTGGCAGAGCCTGACTCGGAACCAGGGGGGTGGGGAACACTGGGAGAAACTCTCTTTCCCACTGACTGAACAATGCCATCCATCCTTGTGGCAGCTCGGTGCAGATGTATTTCTCAATAGTGGAATGTATTTTAAGAAACACTTTTGTCTGCCACTGTTTCTGATAACAAGCTATTGTTACACGCCTTTGAGAGAACGTCCATGAAAGTGGGGGTACTGCTGGACCAGCATTAAGGAGGCAATATTTCACCTACAAATAGAGTCATACACTTCACAACAACTCACTTTACAACAAAAAATACACATTTGACCGAGATATAATTTTAAGCGGGGGTGAAAATGTGATATGGTAAAACTTCAGCCTGTTGATATCTGATATCCAATTCACCACAGATTATTTTTATTAGAAAAACACAGAATCTGGCATACCTTTTCTCGCTGCATTGCTGCTTGTGAGGTATTGCTGAGTGAAAATTGGCTACCGTATTCGTCGAGAAAATAGTCACCACTTTACGGTAAATGGGACGCCCACCTGATGTGAAACGCACTATGCGAATATAATCTTGTTACAACTAAACAACACGATAAGACACTATGTCAAATACAAAGATTGTTATCTTGCATTATTATCATCCTGTTACATTGGTGGTGTGTACATGCTGTTTGCTTAGACATTGAGTGGGGTGGATGTTTTACGTTGGCTGCTCCCAGATCACTGAACCACCTCTCCTTACAGACAACATATTGCCTTTGATTGTGATGGGGTCTGGATGTGCTAATTGATAACCTGCTGGTGGGGGTGCTTGTTCCGTGAGTCTTGCAATACTACTGCCATCTATCATTTAGTCACTAAAGAGTAGCTGTCAGAACAGGTTTGATCACGTCTCCTTTTCCTCAGGGTTATTGCTACGGCTGGTTTGAAGACATTCAGCCGGTTTACCACGCTGAGCAGATTGGTTGCTTGCCACGTTTTGGATCGAATGCCATGAGTTCTGCTCATGAGCTGGCCACACACCAAAGCGCAGGTTTAAAATACAAAACAAACCAGCTGCCCTTAAACAAGCCAAGTTCCCATGTGTGCCACCTGCAACGGGCCCAGAGAATGATAAATAAAAACAGACTCTTGCTCCATCTAATCCACCTGTAAAGGCTTTCTGTTAGTTACACCAGAGCTAGAATTAATAATAATAATAATAATTATCCTTGCATTTGATATAGCGCATTATCATGTCATTGAGATGGCTCATTTGAGATTTACCAATAACAGAGAAGAACAACAATAAATTACATTTGTAATAATAAAATAACATTTGTAAAGCACCATTCACGTTGGGAGGACGTCTCAAGGCATTGGACATTCAGGGATTTGGATCTGGGTGTCGGATTGGGATCAGGGGCTTGGAGGGATGGTAGGGGTAGGAGGGCAGACCATGTGCAGTCAAAGAGGAGGGTCTTGAGATGTGCTTTGAAGGAGTCAAGAGAGGAAGCAAGACAAAGGGACTGTGGGATGCAGTTCCAAAGGGTGGGGGCAGAGAAGCTGAAGGCCCGGCCGCCAATGGTGGGGTGGGCCAGCTGTGGGGCATGGAACAGGCTGGAGCCTGCTGAGGGGAGGGAGCAGACAGGTTCACATGGCGCTAGCAGGTTACAGAGATAGGAAGGAGCAAAGCCGTGAAGGGCTTTGAAGGTGAGGACAGGATTTTGAACTCTATCCTTTGACGGACGGAAAGCCAGTGGAGCCGGGCGAGGGTGGACAGAATCTGGTGCAGAAGAGGACACAAGCTGCAGAGTTCTGGATGATCTGCAGCTTATGGAGGGAAGAGTTGGGAAGGCTGACAAGCAGTGAGTTTGCATACTAAAGCCTAGATGTAATAAATGTGTGAGTGAGTGTTTCAGCGGCCAGTGGGGAGAGGCAGTGGCAGAGCCAGGCGATGTTGTGGAAGTATAATTCTGCATCCCCTGAGTTTCTAATTGCTCTTTTGTATGATTAAGATGTAGAGTCGGTGGAGGAATTTCACGGTATGTTAAAAAAGACTGAGGTGTGATGTGAGTCATTATCATTGCCAAAGATACACAGGGGAAGATCAGGAGGAATTGAGCAACTCCAAACGGACATTGAAATGGGTGGAAATAATAAATAGAAAACAATAAAAATAAAAGTGAAGCACATAGAAAATCGAAGACAAAATATCAATGGGACATTTAGAATTTTTTTCACAATTGTTTTTGTTTCTGCTTGTAATTGTGCTTATTTTAGTGGAGTTAGCAATATTACTGTAATATTGGCGTTTTCTCGGCATCACAATAAGTGAATTGCATTTGGGCAAAAGCAGCTAGCCTGGAGAGACAAAAAAATCCAAGGATGCCAATGGAGCCTGAGGGAGTTGAATGGAGTTATTATTGCAGTGAATGGCAAAGTCAATGACTTACTTACCCTCCAGTTCCTGGGTTTATTTTCTCCTTCTCAGGGTAGGAGGAGCTGTGGAAATACCTGTTGGCAAAAGACAACTTGTAAATAACTCATATTGATTAATCGACAATTCTAATGTAGATGTACAAAATGGTTTCTTAAATATCTACTTTTAGACTCTTAGTCCAGGCTTTAAACAACGCTCAGTGCTCTTTAACGGCAAGATAGATGCTCAAATGCAAACTGGTCAGAAATACGAGTTGTGGCAACATCAAGATGTGTAAACCCATACATATGTGAAACTCTGTCTGGTTTGGACACTGTTAAGTCCGGTAATGCGTTTCCGCATGTATCAGACACCCACCTGACCAAAGGGGTTTTAGAAAGAATGCACAGCGTGGAAACAGGCCACTCGGCCCGTTGATTTCATTTGTACTCCAGATGAGTCTTCACCCACTCCTCACTCCCTCCCACACCCTTCTGTTTCCCTCTCCCTCATGTGAAGCATCTATGCTATCTGATTCAACCAACGCTTCAGGCAGCGAGTTTCACAGTCTGTAGGCGGAAACAACCCAATTTTTTAAAAAAATAACTTTTATGAAAACCATTAAAATAAAATGTAGTTTATGTCTTAAATAAAATTTGAGGTCAACTTTTTATTTAATTTCAGGTGACCAGCCCAATTTAAGTGCCGTCTCGAACTCATTATGTTCAGTGACATAAGCTGTATTCAAAATTAACAAGTCCTGAAATTTGAGGCAACTTTCAAATGTGAACAACTCTGATATTTATTAATGCTATCATGCGTTAACACTACAATTAAAATATATTTTTATTGAGATTTCCCCACTTGTTGCTATCTGCTGTATCATTCTGGAGCTCTCCAGCACCACGTAGTGGTCAGAGATTTGTTAATTCCTTTGTTTTTTGAAACCAACAGGCGTTTGGCTTTGTGCCACAGATTGAAAGGTCAACTCATCAGATTTTTTAATATATGGTTACAAATATTGACATTTTTTTCTCCTTTAATTCCCTCCCCTCCACTTCTCTGTTCCATTCCATGCCTGAATTTGCTTACTGTGGGGTCCAGTAGCTCAGTGGTTAGAGCACTCGCCTCATAATAATAATAATAATCCTTGCATTTGATATAGCGCTTTTCACGTCAGGAGGACGTCCCAAAGCGCTTCACAGAACACACTGTAAAGTGAATTGACTGTATATTTGTGGGTGAACGCGGCAGCCGATTGTGCACAGCAATGTCCCACAAACAGTCATAGATTGAAAATGACCAATTTATTATTGTTTTTGATTTTGGAGGGATTATTATTAGGCGTGTGGAGTAAGGAAACTTGCCCAAGGTTTCGCCCTGCCTGGAATTGAACTCAGGTCTCTCACTTGCAAAGCAAGTGCTCTAACCACTGAGCTACAGGATTCCAGAGACCTGGGTTCGATTCCCGGCAGGGCGAAACGTTGGGCAAGTTTCCTTACTCCACACGCCTTTGTTTACCTAGCAGTAAGTAGGAACCCGGTTGTTAGTCAATTGGCAGATCGCTTTTCCGGGGGTAATAATTCCTTCAAAAAAATAAAAATAAATGAAAAATTGGTAAATTTGTGGCTGTTTGTGGAACACTGCTGTGTGAGCAATTGGCTGCTGCGTTTCGCTGACAAAATATACAGTAAATTCACTTTACAGTATATTCTGTGAAGTGCTTTGAGACATCTCGAAGATGTGATAAGGTGCAATATCAAAAGCAAGGATTATTATTATATTATTCTTACTCCCATGGGTCTCAAGTTGCCAGACAAACCCCAAACCGTCCTTGTCCATTTTGCCAGTGTTAATTTCTCAGTAACTGGTGCACATTGTCAAAATGTGCTAAATATGAACCTTCACCCCCATGGGGTGGGTGGGTGTTTCAGTGGAGAGCGGGCGGCGTTTCTCAGAAACCTCATTATTTTCAGTCAGTCACCCGGCTTGAAGCTGACCACATTGAGCCATGTGGGTTGGGGCTAGTTATCAGATCGCTCATTTTGTTTCAAACCCTAAAGCAGCTAAAGTATCCAG